AGGTGTTGTGAAGCTCATAAAGTGAGGCAAATAGAATTAATCAGCTGATGGAGTGTAGATGTGGAAATAGGTGCATTCGATCAGCTGACTTCACAATAAAAGTAGTTTCTTAGTGAATGTCCTGTACTGGTCTTAAAATCTCATAAAATCTCATAACATCAGCTTTTAATTTTCCTCTTGGATGTTCTTCTTGACCCTCAGAGAAGGAGAAAATGTTGAGTCGTGTCTTTCAGGCATGTCCTTTCCTAACAAAAATTACAGGAAACATAAAACATATTATTGCAGAACAAGTGTGTTATTTATGAAAGAGGTGTGTTTGTGTTTAGGGGCTGTAGATATAATTATTTTGTAATTGTAATGTTTTATTTTATTTCAACAGTGAGCTACAAAGACAATCAGATTATGAATGAACAGTATGACATTCAACATTGAAATATATTTTATTATCAAAATAATATTTAACTGTTATCAAAACTTAGTGCAACTGTAGAAGCTTGCTCTGTTCTCTCACTGAAATCATAACTTTTACCACGTTTTTTACAGACAATATTGAGAGATAAATAGTAGCAGTTCTCACTAATAGAGTGGCGAAGTCACGCCCACCTACTTCCGGGTAATGGGACCTTATTTCGGAAAAATTATGCATTGAAGTCAATGGGGAGAGAAAACTTATCTTTCGATCCCGTTTGAATTGTGCCATGAATTACACATATGATGTTTGTCAATCTTAAAAAATAATTTCCATGTCAAAAAAGTCACAGTTTGTCGTAAAACTGTTGAAATATAAGACTATGAAAAATACGTAACTAGAAAGACTACAAATCCCAGAGTCGCGTAAGTGATGTCACAATTGTTTTCCTCCACCATTCAGATACCTAAGATCAGCGCAATATAGATATAATCTATCTATATGGCGCTGGCTAAGATAAGATAACTTTAACAAGATGCCTGTGTGCTTAGTACCAGGTTGTTATTATACCAGCAATGGGTCTTGCTCGTTCTTTTGCTTCCCGTCTGATGAAAGGACCAGGAGTGGCTTGATCAAGTTAGCTACCTAGCTAGTAGCTAGCACGTTAGTTAGCATTACAGCCTTGTCATTTTTATTAGCCTTAACATGAAGTAACATTAAGTAACCCAAAATGTTAAACAGTAAGAGTAGTAGTCATATTTCGTGAACCCTTTGAATAGTACTGTCACCGGTGTGATCATTCTATAATACACCATTTAAGCCCGGGGGAGAAATGCTAACGCTAACGTTAGCATCGGCAATCTTCTCTACTTCATGCTATCTGCACAAATGGTTGACATTAAACATTAAAACGACCAGGCAGTTCAGAGAGAATCAAAGGAAGGCAGGCAGGCAGCTTTGCATGACATTCTTCAGGACGTGTTTCATTGTGGTGATAGTCAATCGTTTTGTTGACAAGACAGTAGTGACGGCCATCTTGGTGACGTGTGTTGTTGACCAGAGATGTAGTTCATTGAGCGTTTCACACAAACAAATGTGTTACTTCACAGTTTTACTTCACAGTTTTACGACACTTTTTTTTTTTTGACTTGCAAAATTATCTTTTAAATTGACAAACATCATATGTGTAATTCGTGGCACAATTCAAACGGGATCGAAAGATAATCTTTCTCTCTCCATTGACTTCAATACATAATTTTTCCGAAATAAGGTCCCATGGAGGTCCACAGGAAGGGGAGGGACTTCGCCACTCTATAGCTTTGCCTTCAATACCTTAAATTAGAAAGCTGACAAAGTAATATTGCTTGTTAACATGTAACCCTTTGCATGGAAATAACCCTCAACTTCACTGATGTGTAGGTGATCTAGTATTTAGTATTGTTTAATTGAATGTATATCAGTGTATTAAAGTCAATACTTCATTTATTTAAACCAATATCTTTCTTGATTCTTTGTACAGTATGAAAAAAGAGTATTTGTACCTGTGCTGAAGTTCACTGCTGTGAGGAGTCCAGTTCTGTCTCTCACTCTCTGGTCCAGCCTGTCTGCATCACCTGGAAACTTTAAACAAACAGATATATATGTAAAGAACCATGTGTACAAACAATATAACTTATTCTCTTCTGTTGAACATGTTGGATTGTGTATTGTCCGAGTCAGGGTCCTTTTTATTTTACTGTAACTTTGGAAGTTGTGTTACCAATGCTTACTGTTTATTTGATACCAATTTGGTAATGCAATTAATAAAAACAACAAGGTTTGGGTTCGTTCTTCAGATGACTGTGACGTTAACGTGTAAGCTCAATAATGAACTCCAGCTCAACCAACCATATTGTAATATCTAAGTAATCATCTTGAAATATGACATTAATAATTGTAATATACACACATCTTATTGTGAGGTTGATTTCACATACACTACTTCGACGTTAGCTTGTCTACATACTTGAGCATAGCCAATTTAAATTAACCTTAGCGATGCATACAGTTCCTACCTACATAATAAAATATCTCTCTAAGTTACAAGGATAACCTTATTTGATCAACCTCAAACAGAAGCCTTTTGTTCTACAGTACTATCTCACTTAACGCTTAACACTTGTCTATTTCATTTTAACTTTTATATATACAGTCTATGGTTTTAAGTTAACTTGGAGGATACGATTAGCATCGTTAGCACCGATGTAGCTACCACTCGCTCACACGCTAACCCAAGCCTTAACATTCATTACGTAGCTGATTAAAATCATAAACACATAAATAAAGTACTCGAATTTCACTTACCGCAAAACGGCATTCATGCACCGTCTGTTTTAACCGCAGACCGAGTCACAATAGTCCGATATATAAGCATGAAGAACAAACAAACACGGCCAGGGTCAAGTTGTGTTCCCTGGATGAACTGAGCATGGAGAGTCCCTGTAGCTTCACGGAGACGGAGCAGCAAGCAGAGAGACAAGAAGCTAACAGCAGCAGTCACTTGACAGAGCTGTCACTCAATGTGACCACGCCCTAATTTATGCAAAAACTTTAAGACCTAATATAAATAAAAGGGTCATGTCAGAAAACAATTCACTCACAGATCCATAATCATGAAGGTGGAATCTAACTATATCTATAATAATATTTATTGGATCCATGGGTAGAAACATGTTTTTTTAGGCTGTAAAATTGGGCATTTTAACATGGGGGTCTATGGAAATTGCTCTTTTCTGCAGTCAGCGCCTATCGGCCAATATATGAACTGCAGTTTGTGGCACTTCCGTATTGGCGTCCCGGCTCTTCCCCAGAGTTTGCCGCTTGGCGCAGACCCATCCGAAACCTTGGAATATGGTTCTGAGAATAGAGATTCTCCTCATATCCCCCCTCTGCCAAAGCAACCTTGTCGGCATGGAGTGAACCCATCTTTACTTATGAGCTACACAAAACATTGTAATGTAAGAAAATGTTTAACAACTAAATTACATATTTATCACCTAGATGAAGGGGTTTCAAAGCCTTCTCTACAATGCGATGAATTACATTTTAGTGGATTCTGGGTCAAAGATTCCAGAAATTAAGCATTGAAAGTGTAGGTTTTACCTGTAGGATGTAAACTCCCTAAGGGTGCTTCAACTCTAGAAACATTACTAAATATATGACCAAATGTTTCCTATAAAGCTTTGCTATTAAGAGATACATTTGTAAAGTGCGAAAGGGAGAAAATACACAGTCCTTACTTCTTCATTCCTTATAAACAAGTGAAGTGTGTATTTCCGAAGGTTACAGTATTCTCCGTATGAAATTCCCTGTAGTGTTAAGACAGTCATGATGGATCAGAATCTGTCCTTGAAATTTGACGACCATCTGTGCTCTGTTTGTAGCGCCTACATCTCACACTGATGAATCATACTGTATACCTATCGGCACACAACACAGTACAGGAAGTTGACCTTTTTCAAAGACTGCTCAATCATAAGCCACATAAGTAAATCTACCTTGTAAAATATCAAGCTGAGAACTGAAAGGCCATTTTTCTTTGTATGAAAACCAAACAGAAGGGCAGCTGCAACATCCCAACTAAATGAAACCCTGTTTTTGGGTATTTGAAAACATCCCTATGCATTTAAAGTGATAGGATTATCTCTGCTTATCTGCAACATTAAAGCTTTAAAGTCCTGCCGCTGTTCAGGTTTTATCTGCTTTCACACATAATACCATTAGCTAACAAGGTTTTTTGTGGGAATTTTGTTGATTGAAGGGACTGTAAAACACATTTATAATAATGACTTTGAGTACGGGTAATGTTGAACAGTTTCACACCAAACAGGCCCCCAGCACGTTTAGTAAATGATCTTTGCCCATTTTGCGCCTCTCTGAAACTGTAATGAGACAAGCAGGGACATTATCTTGATTAAAATCAATCCCTATTGGATTACACTGTGCTACATTCCCGCGCTTGGCTTCACTGATTAGGATACAGCACAGGAAACCAAAATCAGGACTGAGGAGACTCATCAAATCGCTGCACGTACATGCACGGATAACTTGACAGATAATCCCAGAACTCCTTGTCATCGTGCATCACTGTCCCTTTTCCTGGTACTTGCTGCTGTCGTAGTGTTTTATTATCCAACATATTTAATGTTCTCTTGTGCTGTCGGATGTTTCACATGTAAAACATTTAGTTATAGGTCTAGTATGCTTCCATTACATTGCCCCCTAAAAAAAGAGGATGGAAGCAAGAGGGGGAGAAAATGAGGGAAATAATTAAGGGATGAACAAAGATCAGTGAAAACGGGGGAAAGGCCTTGAGGAAAGAAGAGAAGAAGGAATGATAGCCTACTATAGGTGTAAAAACAAGGAAGGAAAAAAGTATGGATGGAAGGGAGGAATGATATGAGCCAGGAAGAGGAAGCAAAAGGGGAGGACAGAAGGGAGGAAGGAGCCTAGGCAGGATTAAAGGAAGGTTGCGAACTAACTCATTTTCACGTCGTGGCTTCTGTACCGTGCAGGCTCAGTTTGCCGCGCGAGGGTCGTTAGTAAACTCGCGCATGCTGGTGTTCACCCGCCTCATCGCACGCGCCCACATTCTTCAACACGGTCAGCTTTACCGGCGGTGCGTCCCGCGGCTGAAACGCAGCGCTCGCGAAGGCAAAACAACAGAAAAGCACCCAGCGGGGCTTCACAGGCACACAGTCCGCTGACAGGCACCCGAGGACAGGCGAGACTCCCGTGCGCCACACAACACACGAGGACCATGGAGAGCGCAAGCAACAACTCGGAAACGCTCCTCCAGAGCCAGGTCTCCATGCTTTACAATAACAGCAGCTTCTGTGGGAACTTCAGCAGCAAAAACAACAACACCACCAGCGGCTTCGCGGAGGCGAGATGCGACAGGGAGCGAGGGCTGACCGAGGACGACACCAACCCGGTCATCATAGCCATCGTTATCACCGCTCTCTACTCCATAGTGTGCGTGGTGGGGCTAGTTGGAAACGTGCTGGTCATGTATATCATCGTCAGGTAAGACAGCAAAGTTCTTACAAAATGTGTGTGATACAGTAATTAGGCCTTTTACACAGTTGTAAGTGAGAAAGGACAGTACGGCGACCTGTTGCTGTGTTTATCATGCTGTAAAGACAGGTGTGCACGTGTGTTTATGTGAGAACATGGGAATGCAGTGCTGTTGACAACGCTCAGCTGCAGTGTGTGCGTAAAATATCTCCAACCTCACAGCAAGTTGCCCCAGCGCGCAAAACAGCGAGTCGAGTGAGGAGAAGGAGAGAAAATGTATACAGAAAGCACCCAATATATCCATAAAAACAGACAGAGGAATGACATGTTGTCTGTTGAAACAGCAAACAACGCTGTCTCTCTCTGTCTCCTTCGTCCAATTTACCACAATGGATAAAACGGGAAAAGACTGCAAATCATGTGAGCACATAACAAAAACATTATGCCTGCACCATATATCCAGTCAGATGCTTCTGGCTTCATGCTCTGTGGCAGTGTCCTGTTTCCTTGTACATTATTGTGCATGTAATGTAAATTAGATGAGGCCTGAATCAGTTTTGAACATGGTCTTACAACAAGCTGTTGCCATACAACCTGTGTGATGAAAGTTCTAAACACAACTTCAAACACATTACTACAAAAGAATACTATAGTAGTAAGTATTATTTGTTTTTTACATGACAACTTCAGAGACTTAAATTATATGTATTCAACTGCTTTCCCCACTTTAATGCCAAATGTGGTCGCTTGTGGACATCATTTAAAAAATATCTTCTGTAACCTGTCACAATTAGTCAGAGATAATAATAATACATGGTGAGTGGTCCACACTTCACTTGCTCTTTCATCTCTTCTGATCTCACAGTCATTTTGCACACTACATTAACTTCTGTTCATTACCCAGATAAACCAGCTGGCTTAGGACACTTGCAGGGAGAAATCACTCAGTATTAGGATGGTCTATTAGTTTAAAAGTGTCTTAATAAATGAATGACTAACTCTATATCTCCAAATAAATGACCTTTGGGTTACATTAAGACATTGTTACATTTACAATCACATATTGGGCTATTAACACCAGCCCCTAGTGTGGATTTCAAAGGTAGTGACTTTAATTACACATAAAAGTCTGACATTTATGTTGGTTAAATGCTCCCCAGCTGATGCAACGTCATTTCAGATGAGCCCCGTTTGAGGTAGCCTACTACAAATCACTAGATAGATGAAGCAGTGGGAGAATCACATGAGAGATGAACCTGAAAAACAAAGCTGGCCATGAGAGGAATCCTGAGAGGGAAAAGATTGATGGTGAGCAATGGGAACGCTGAGGAGAATTGAGAAAAAGCTGAGTGGTCCACCTCCGTTTTCCACTTGTGATTACCCACTTTGTCGGTGTGATAGAATCAGTTGAGAGTGGTCAAGTGGAAGATTTGCTGTGCTGAACCTGTCAGAAAAAGGGTTTTTAAATGGCTTTGAAATTGAAACAACACCATCATTAGATAAATGATAGTGGTAGAAAAAATTATTCTTTATTATTGCTATAAATTATCATGACCTTGTTTCACCAATATTTCTCCTCATTTCTCCACTGTTTTCAGGTCAGATGCAGTTCAAAATGAATGCTCATTTGCCAGAGTGCACACATCATCCCCTCAGTCCCCGAATAGTTCTCTTTTGCTTAAGAATTCTGACACACATCTACGCAGGATGTTACTGCATTTATGCCGGATGTTTTCTACCCCAAATTACTTACGCCAGAGCGGCCTATTGGGTCACAGATGGAAACAGTACGAGAATAATTTCCTCAAGTAAAATTCAAACTACTTGCATAACAAGGTTCTCAAATAAAAGGAAAAGGAAAATCTGTTGAAATGTAAATCAGAACATATAAAACCACATTGCATTTTGTAAAAAGGAGGTGAGACTATGATGTTGTATGATGAAACTATTGAATTAAATAACACTTCTAGAAATGTTTTAAAAGTGCATTGACATGTCAAAGTAAAATACGATGAAAGCAGTCTTTTTCAGTAAACACAGACATTGAAGCCTGCCAATAAAACTGTTGATTAATTATTAATATGACACCACCTTCCTCAGTATGGCATCACTCGAATGAACCAGAAGTGAGGACAACATCCAATACAATTACAAATAAACAGAAATGACAAATAATACATAAAAAAAGAGCAACGGACAACATGCGGTTGCAACAAGCATTATTTATCTATGTCAATAAAATACTGCAGAATAAGCATCACCAAGGCCACCAACACACATATCTATATACAATATAAACTTCAAAGCAGACACTAAAGCAAAACAAGGCATCACAATGCCACGTGCAAAATTAGATTCAATTTTTCCTGATCGATAGTTGACCTTCGTTAATCGACAACCGATAAGTGTCTTGCATGCAGGGCTGCAGTAATTGAAGCAACCAAAAAGCCGCCCAGCAGAAACAATAATCAATGGCACAATCAGATTAAATCCATTATGTATCGCCAGCTCTAACGTATGCGCTAAACAGGAACTGAATCCCAGTTCACCCACTGGGAGAGTTAGCAGCCTAGTTGTTGCGTTCATTGTATGGACGAATGCAGGTTCTTCACTACTTCGTCTCCACCTCTTCAATCAGTGTCGTTTTGAGATTGTCAGCTTGTGTATTGCAGGCCGGGCGGACTACAGTGTAATAGTGTGTAACGGTCGGTATTCATTTAGGGTTCACGCTATGCAACATTTTTCATTGCTTTTTACCGTCTCCTACAGCAACGCAGCAAAGACTCACATAAGTAGAAGTTCCTAAATGTATGTAAAAGTCACTTTGTTGGTGTGATTGATTTTCATTTTATTTGGAACACAAAAGGGTATAGTTGAGTATAGTAAGCTAGTAAGTTCTATAACAAAAACAAAGACAACACCCCGACCCGACAACATCGCGATAGTCAAACAAGGTAGCCACGCCTAAAGCATACGAAGCGATTTTCTTTTGGATTACGAAAAAACTTAATAGGAAAATGTTCACTGAAGTAATAATTTATTCCAAAGTAATAGTTATTTTTTCATTGTCTTCTATACAATCTGACTTCTTTTGAAACCAGTAGATTCCCTCTGTGATGGCCATGTAAATAAAGCCGGTTTAAGGCATTTCCCCATTGGCTTCACCTTTGGGACCCTCAGGTATCTTCTGTTCATGCACCGGCATCATTTTAAGAACTTCAGCTGTCTGGCGAGGGAACAAGAGTGTTACGATGTATGAGTTAGTATACAAGCTTGCATTATGTATTCCAAAGTACTTTATCTACAAAGCTGCTGTTAGATGTAAAGGGCATTACTTGAGCTCTCACATCCTTGACTATTTTGTGGGTGGGAACAGATTTAGGACACGCTCTGCATCCTCTCGAGGGTAATGAAACGATACTGACTCAACCAGCAGTGTGTGTATGTGTGTGTGTGTGTGTGTGTGTGTGTGTGTGTGTGTGTGTGTGTGTGTGTGTGTGTGTGTGTGTTTGTGTGTGTGTGTTCAAGCATGTACGGTTATGAGAGTGTTTGTGACCGAGAAAAGTTTGGTTGATTTGCCGGAATGAGGATTTAATGGAATTAGGAGGAAGGTGAAGGATGTGTCTCATTTCTCTGAGAACCACAATCCATTAACTTCCATCAACCTCAAAGTCTTCTATCTTTTTTCTGTCTGTATCTTTGTATTGTCTCTCTCTGTTGGCAGATCACACCCATTTAGCTAATGACACACAATGGATATTTACTGTTAAATGGAAATCTAGTCTTTTTATCTAGAACTTTTCATCCCCACTTGACAGTCATGGCCTTGGTTGCGTTTTGCTTGATTAAATAGAGACTGCATTGGATGAGAAGGTTTCCCACTCACTGTCTGAGTGCTGATAACCTTAAAGCCATAAAACGTTTCTCCCTCACTCTTTATGTCTCTGTCCTTCTGCTGTCCCTCGCCTGCTCGCTCGACACATCCGCAAACTTCTTGTGAACAAACAAACACAACCAGAGGTCTGCACGCTCAATCGGAAAAATAAATTGCGTTTGAACAGCAAACGGCTTGGCTCCCACAAGGAATATGCTGCCAGTGCAGAGTGCTTCCTGTTACCATGGAAACAATGGAAGGCATTTTGAGCTTGATGAGTGCAAAATGACTCCCCGTCCTTCCCAAATCCTGCCTTCATCCACCATGCACGCACTAGATGACCATCTTTCCCTGGTTAGTCAGAAGCAATTATAAAACGTTCTATGCTTAAGAGGCTTTTGAGTATATCAGTAAACAGCTGTTTTTATGGCATGTAGGAGCACAACGAATGTATAATCCTGTTGCAACTTAAAAGAAAAAGGCCAAGATCCTGCTCTGTGATGTCAGAGTAACTTCTAAACATCCGTGTCCCTGCTCTTAACGGGAGAATTTGAACCCAGTCACATGAAAGATGGTGTTATGATGAGAGTCAATACAATCTGCTTCACAAGACAAATGTCATATATCTCCGCTAATGTTTCCCTTTAATGGGTTTTTCATGGCTCCTGCTGCCTGACATGACAAATAGTCTCAGACTGAGTTTCAAAGGACTAACCTGCACTCTGCGAATGTGCTGTCGACAGCGTGGCTAATGCTCAGATAAGATCCAGAGAGCTTAAAGACTTTCCTAAAACAATCTCTCGTGTTTGAATCAATTGTAAGCAAACTAAAAGTCTTTGTGAATTTAAAGGACATGCGTATACCCATACAGTGAAAGGGTATTGGTTTGCTGTAATTGTTTCTCCAGTCCATTGCACACCCTACACTTCCTAAAAGCAACATCAGTTTAAGTGAAAGGGAAACTAAATTGTTTTGTGCATAAAGAACTTCTAAATTATAGCTGAAGTTAACAGACTAGTAAGAGTTATTTTGCCGTACCAATTTCCTTTCAGAAAGAAAGGCAAGCACAAAGAGGGAAATGTACGCAATAAAGACGATAATCACTTCATTTCTTTAAATTAGAAGCCACATTTTC